GGGGGGGGGCAGGGTAGAGAGGGGAATTCTGGGAGTTGAAGTCCAAGTGGCTGAGTCTGAGAAACTCTGATTTAGGCCTTTACGTTGAAGAGACACTGATCATTTGAAGAGTTGGATCTTCTTCTTCTTGTGCCATATCCGTTATCGGACGTGGGCGATCATGTTGGTGATCCTGTTTTTATCAGCAGCCACATGAAAAAGTGCTGCTGAGTTTTGTCCAAACCAGTCCCTTAGATTTTGAAGCCACGATGTTCTTCTTCTGCCTGGACCTCGTTTGCCTTCAATCTTTCCCTGGAGGATTAAATGGAATATGCCGTATTTTTCTGGGTATCGCATCACATCTGAAATATTCTAATTTTCGGTTTTTAATGGTTTTGATGATTTCCCTTGGCTTTCCCAGGCGGCTTATCACCTCCTCATTTCTGATCTTGTCAACCCAGCTTATATGTAACAGCCGCCCTGTAAATCCACATTTCAAATGCTTCTAGTCTCTTCAGGTGGCCTTCTGTCAGAGACTAGCTCTCTACTCCATAGAGCAGGATAGAAAAAATATAGCATCTGACAAGCCTGATTTTCAGTCTTACGCTTATGTCGTGAAAGAGTTGGATAGCCACGATCAACCCCCTCCCAAGCTGGCAGAAAGGAATTTCTGCCTTTCTTTCTGCTGATAAAGTGCAGGATCAGAACCAAAGGAGGACACGTTTTAGAGCAGCGGTTCTCAATCTGTGGGTCGCGAACGACCATTTCACGGGGGTCGCCAAACAATGCGATCCGCCATTTTTTTGTCAGCTGGCGGCACTGCGCATGTGCGCCGCGTCCTTATGACCGGGGTCGCCAGAAAAAAAAGGTTGAGAACCACTGTTTTAGAGGATCTTCTGCAGAAAGTGAAGAGTGGGATTCAGAGTAAACCTGGTGCATTGCAAATGTCTGTGAATGCCCTAACTGGGTTGCTGAAATGAAGAAATCTTGTGATAATCACAGTGAGATTTTCTGTGGAATGAGGGTGAGCCCCCCTCTGAGTCCAGGGTTCAAAGCCAATTCCTGCTTAGATGGCTGAACTCTGGGAGGGGAGGGGGAATTTTACAGCCGGGGGGGGACGTGGAGGAAGATTTGGGGGGCTACGTGGCTTCGTTGCTGCTCCCTTCCCTCCCCCCTTTGCCTTTCCATATTTCGGTTTCCCTTAAGGATCCCATGGCCTCTGGTCTCAGTTGGATTCCCCCAGAAAGGGCAGAAAGTGAGCAATCCAGAAGAGGGTTTGAGGGAGGCCTTGATGGAAGGGGGGAAGGGCACAATTGAGGGAAGGTAAAGTTTGGGGGACCTGGGCTTCCCCTCCTCTCTCACCCCAACTTCCTTGCCCTCCAACCCTTCAGCCCTCCAAAAAGCTGCTTCTTTCCCTCTTAGTCGCTCCGATTCCACCTCCTGCCTCCCCTTCCATCCTCTCCTCCTTCCTTTCCTCCCTTTCTCCCCTCCAGTTCTCTTCTTCTTCTTCTTCTTCTTCTTCTTCTTCTTCTTCTTCTTCTTCTTCTTCTTCTTCTTCTTCTTCTTCTTCTTCTTCTTCTTCTTCTTCTTCTTCTTCTCCTCCTCCTCCTCCTCCTCTTCTTCTTCTTCTTCTTCTTCCCCTTCTTCTTCCCCTTCTTCTTCCCCTTCTCCTCCTCCTCCTCCTCCTTCTTCTTCTTCTCCCCCCAGAGCCTCAGATTGGGCCTCCATAGGATGAGGGTCCTTGACTGGAGCCCCTTAACTCTGCCCCTCTGGGTCCCTTCCAGGTGCCTCCTCACACTCCCTGAAGTATTTCTCCACCGTCATCTCAGAGCCCAGTCAGGGGCTGCCCCATTTTGTCTCTCTGGGATATGTGGACGGTCAGGTCTTTGTTCACTACGACAGCAACAGCCGGAGGATGGAGCCTCGAGTCTCCTGGATGGAGAAGGTGGGGAAGGAGGATCCCCAATACTGGGATTGGAACACCAAGGCAGCCCGTGGCAATCAGGAGGAATTCAGAGGAAACCTGGAGACTCTGAGGCTTCGCTACAATCAGAGCGAAGGTGAGTGATGGGTCGGGTGGCTCCTCCTGCCCCATAATCCCCTCCCCAGGAACCAGAGGGGGGAGAAAGGGGGGTCCCTTCAAAGGGAAAGGCTGCATCCCCACATTTAAAAAGGTTTTTAATATGTTTATTCTGTTTTTAAAAAGTCAGTATAAGCTTGTCGTTGCCTCCATAGCTGATGTTTTCTGCCAATTGCAGTTAATAAAATCATTTTTTAAGTTCTCCCTCTATCTCTCTGTATATCGATAGGATGTGGATATGGATATAAACTGAGTTAAAAGAGACTGAAATCTCCCCTCCCCCCATGAAAGTTGGAGGGTCCTGGCCTTGGTGGATCCCCTGCTGTGGGGGAGGGAGGGGATCCCCTCCCGGAAAAGAAGGAGGTGGATCCTAAGGAGATCCTGGGGGAAGCAGGTCCCTGTTTTTCTGTCTGTTTCCACCCCAGAGAAATGAGAGATCAACTGCAGATCCACCTGGGCTGACTAGATCCCTCTCTTTCACCTCTTTCTGGAGGGATGAGGGGGGCCCAAAATGGCAGGAGCTTCTTCTCACCCTCCAGGTGGAAGGAGAGGCCAGGAGGCCAAATGGGGCAGGGGGGGCTCTGGGGGGGTGAGCACAGGATCACTTCCAGGATCCCCCCAATCTTGAGGGGAAAAAAGGACAGAAAAGGAAGAAACCCCCATTTGGGGCCCTTCCTGAGTCGCTCAGAGCGCTGATGGCTTCCCATCCTTGGTCCCTCCGGCTGGACTCCTGCGCTGCCCTCTTGGTGGGGCTGCCCTGGAGGGGGTAGGTCTTCTTCAGCAGCCCCCCCTTTCTGCCATCTTTGGGGGAGAAGATTCACCTCCAAGGAACCTGATTTAGGGGAGAGATTGGAAGCAAATATCTGTGTCACCAGAGGCTGCTTTGGGCTGAGGTAAACCTTCTCCACAAACATCAGCCATTTTCCCTCCTTTCATCCCAAGGAGGGGCAGCCCCCCTTCTTCTGCCCTTTCCTTCCCCGTCCCCCCCAGGCAGACACCCCAGAGATCTGCCTGTTCTGCCCCTGATCCCCAAGGATCCCCCCCAGATCCCTCCAGGCCCCCTGCTGGCCTCTCAGGGGAGCAGAGCTGGACCCAGAGGGCTCCCCCTGGTGGAGAAAGGGGGAAGGAGAGCGGCCAGAGTGGAGGGGAGCCTCCTTCCCAGGCCAAACAGCCCCAAATGTCCCAACCTTTCCTCCAAGGGAGGCTGCTTCCACCCTCCCATCCTCTGGGTCGCCCCCTCTGGACCTTCCCCACCTCCCTCCGGCCCTTTTTGGAGGTCTGGTGACCAGAACTGCACCCGATATTCCAGATGTGGTCCCATCCTTGATTTACGCAAAGGCTTTCTGACATTAGCCTCCATGTTTTCAGTACCATTTTAATGATCCCTGACATACTGGTGGCATTTAAAAAAAATTGTATATTTTTGTATTAATACTTTTCACCAAGAAGATAAAAAGGAGACAAAGAAATCAAAGAAAAAAATCAAAAAGTGCAAGAAAAGAAAACAAGCTGAAGAAAATTAGTCAAGAAAAAAGACATAAAGAAGTGGCTTCTGATTTTCTTCACAGCACTTATAAACATAAATATATTTTAGCCTCCCTAAAGCAGCCGTTCTGAACCTTTTGACCCTGGAGGAACCCTTGAAATATTTTTCAAGCCTGAACATCCAGGCTCAAAGATACGCCAGAATTGTTTCACGCGTAGAATTGTAGAGATGCATTAACAATAATAATTAATAATAACTAATAATAAAAAATGAAACTCGCCCTTTCAATGTGATCCCCGTACTTATTTATTGCTGCACAAATATTCAACTCTCTGCAAAACAAATTTCATCTTCAGCTGAAATAAGACAGTTTCTGTCTTGGCTTTTGATGCTTCTGAAATAAGACAGAGCTGGTTCTCAGAAGTTGAAAACTGCAGCCACATTTTCAGTGCCTTCCTGTGAATGGCAGGAGACTCTTCTTTGCAGATATACTGGATCCTCTTTTTGAGACCACGATCAGTTCCTCTTTGCAACCACAGATTCAGCAACTGTTCCCTCACTGGGATCCCTTCCTTTCCCCCCAAGAGTCTCCCCAACAGAGGAACTGCAGAAGGAAAGATGGAGGAGGCTCCCTCCCTCCGTTTCTGCTGCTCCTTTTCTCGGTCTCCCTCGGGATCCTCCGCTGGCTTTTCCAGCTTCCTTTTTCCTGGGGAGGTTCAGGGGCTCCATCCTGGGGGGGGGGGTGAAATGGAGGGAGGCAGGTTGAGGGAGGGGAGAAGGGCAGGTAGTGATGGGGGCTTTCTTTCCCTTGAGCTCTGAGGAGGAAATGTGGGAACTCAAAGTCCTTGCAGGGAGAGGGGTCTCCGTCTATCTTGAGGATTTCCCAAAACCATCATCTTGCCCCTGTTTCAGGCCTTCACACATGGCAGAGGATGGACGGATGTGAGCTCCGGGGAAACAAGAGCAAAGGAGGTTTTGAACAGCATGGCTACGATGGGAGGACCTTCCTCACCTTCGACAAGGAGACCCTCACCTGGGTGGCTCCCGTCCCCCAGGCCCGGATCACCCAGAGGAAATGGGACGCTCTTCCAGGATATAATCAGAGAACGAAGTTCTTCCTGGAGGAATTCTGCATTGAGTGGCTGGAGAAGTACCTGTCCTACGGGAAGGAGACGCTGCTGAGGACAGGTGAGCCTCTGGATCCAGGCTGGACTTTCCTCCTTTGTGGCTGGATTTCTTGTCCACATTTGGGTTCCTGGTCTGCCGTCTGGCTGCCCAGGAGGGAATCCTCCCCCTCCCCTCCCCTCCCAGCCCCTCCCCATGACGCGGGAAGCCCTGATTGGTTTCCCTTGCCAGGCTGCCATTCCATGGACCGGGAAATGCAGCCTCTGCCTGGCGGGAGTCTGGGTGGATCAGGCAGGAGAAGCACTTGGGGGTGTCCTGTTCACAGCCCACAATGAGGCAACAGGAGCACTTGAGGTTCTTCAGTGAAATCCCCATTAGTCAAACTGTAGTCAAGGGTGAGGGGCATTCTTAATTTCCTCCCATTAACTCTCCTTCACCCCACTTCCCACAGGGGGCTCCCTCCCTGCCTTGCACCTGATGGCGCACCTCCCACGCCCACCACTAGAGGGCTCCACGTCTACCATTGAAATGACATTGTAAGTGCCCCCACTTGGGCAAAAAAAGGCCAAGATTGAGAGCTTCTTTCCTTCCTGGGTGGGGGAGGGGGGAAATTTCCAAAATATCTATGGCTCTGATTTAGTGAGCCTTTCCACAGAACGACCCCTTTCCCACCTTCAGGAGCACACCTTCAGCTCACAGGGGGTTTCACATTATTATTATTTTTTTAAACACGTTTTATTAAAATTTTCAGTTTTTACATCCAGATAATTAGGAAGCAGCATGGTGATAGGGCAGACATGTCAAACACAAGGCCCGTGGACCAGATGCGGCTCGCAAAGTGGTTTCATGTGGCCCGCGAAGCCATCCTGGAAACAGTGAGGGAACGGCCCCCGCTGCCTTGGCCCTGGCCCAGGCTGGCCGGGAGCCAATGTACAATTTTGTGGTGGCCATCTATGCTGAAACATTTTCAGTCTTAGCTCCACAAGGCCGTCTGGAAACAGCGAGGAACCAGCCCCTGCCGTGTCGGCCCCACCCCCTGGGTGCATGCTGGGGAGGTGTCACCCTTTGTGAGGAATGAAGAAATGGACCATCGCCTGGAAGTGGCCAGCAAATGGCCCTCACCTACTTCATAGATCTGGCTTGATGGGCTCTAGGGGAGAGGTTTTGGCAGGCAGTGGGACGTTCTCTTCACAGCGCCAAGAGCTGAGCCGGGTGGCGCGAATCTGATGAGAAGTGCAATGCCGCCTAGCCCTCAGCCTGCCCAGTTTCAGCAGGTAGCAAGGTGCAAAGCTGACGAGCTTCGCACCGCCCGACTCAACCTCTCGGCGCTGTGAGGAAAGCGCACCGCTGCCTGCTGAAACCACACCCACTCCACTCCATCCATGCCCACCCAGTAGGCCACACCCACTCTGGCCACACCTATCCAGCCCCCCCAAGGGAAACCGCAATGCTGATGCGGCCCTCAGTGAAATTGAGTTTGACACCCCTGTGATAGGGCAATCAATAATTGAACAACAAAATCATTCATATCTGCCAGGTTACGTCGTTAAAATTTCCCTCTGTATTTCCCTTAATTATTATATCATATTCAGATTAATACACTTCTAGGTAAAGCGCAATCAATCAATACATTTACCAATACCATTTTACTTATACCTATCCAAGTCCTGCTTTTAAGTTTTGTTGTTGTTGTTGTTGTTAATTGCGAAGTTGTGTCCGACCCATCGTGACCCCATGGACAATGTTCCTCCAGGTCTTCCTGTCCTCCACCATCTTCTGGAGTCCATTTAAGTTCACACCTACTGCTTCAGTGACTCCATCCAGCCA